ACAAGCCAGACGAAGCCTCAACGCAATTATTTCTGGGTTCCTGCACGAACGAGTCCATGAGGATGATGTTCCACTCGTGCAACGGCTTCAGCGTTGGCACCGATGAGGAGGCCTACAGTGGCCTTGCCCTGTGGAACGATGTCACCAGACGCCACCGCGAGAAGCCTTTTCATGTCATGTACGTATAGTGACCTGTTGTCAATCAAAGGGGTCATGTGAATGGCAAGATGCTGACTAGGTTTTTCAGGATTGGCGGAGGCGATCAGATCTACAACGACGGCATCCGTGTCTCGGGCCCGTTACGCGCGTGGACTGATATCTCCAACCCGACCAAGAGGCGACACTACCCCTTCCCCGAGAAGCTGCGCCAGGCATGTGACGACTACTACCTGAAGAACTACATCAAGTGGTATTCGAGGGAACCGTTCGCCGGCATGAATGGTACCATCCCCCAGGTGAACATTTGGGACGACCATGACATCATTGACGGCTTCGGCTCCTACGTCGACGAGTTCATGAAGTGCGACGTTTTCCGAGGCATTGGAGGCACCGCCCACAAGTACTACATGCTGTTTCAGCACCACCTGCCCCCTCCGCCGTCCACTTACACAACTGGTACGTCAACCGCAAAGCTGCAGACGGGATTTCGTTGCTAACGATGGCAGATCACGGAGAGTCCTTGTCTGGCCCTGGTCAAGGCGAAGACCCGAACCAGCTGATGGATACATTTGTCGCCTCCAGCAAGACGGACGATTGCTACATTGTTGGCTCAAAGCACGGGGTAAGTCGGACTCGCGCCCGCCTTGGGATTACGAAGCTAACGCTTAGACTAGCCGTACGTTGCCGAGCACTCCCACAACATCTTCTGCAAGCTCGGTGCGCGAGTGGCGATGGTGGGCATTGATGCCAGAACTGAGGTATGAGGATTCCTGGGTTGCCTGATAAATGCGTGTTCTCTGACACGAATAGCGTACTCGTCACCAAATCAACTACCCCGAAACGTACGACCAGATCTTTGAACGCACGAGACAGGAGCTGCAGGCTGCAGCCGACGCGGGCCAGCCCTTTAAGCACTTGATCCTGTTGCTTGGTATTCCGATCGCGTATCCTGTGAGTCGAGGTATTTCGAGTGCAAAACGCGCTGAAGCTAACGTGAAAAGCGCTTGACCTGGCTGGAAACCGTCTTCAGAAGTCCCCTTATGGGCCCTGTGAGGCTTTTGAACAAGCGATTCGGTGTTGGTAAGTATGAAAGCTGTACTTGATTCAAAAGCACAAGTGGCTAACTCCTCCTCCAGCTGGTGGTCTGTTCAATCAGTTCGATGGCAGCATTGACTTGCTCGACGATCTCGACGACCACTACACGGCAAGGACGCACAAGAGGGAGCGCCAGGCGCTTGTCGAGCGGCTGCAGAAGATCGCGGCCGAATTCTCCGTACGCATCACCATCCTTGGCGGAGATGTTCATCTCGCTGCGCTTGGTCGCTTCTACTCCCATCCCAAGCTGGGTATCGCGACGGATAACGACCACCGTTACATGGCCAATGTTGTGTCGTCCGCCATTGTCAACAAGCCTCCTCCGACGGCTGTCGCGAATCTGCTGGCCAAGCGCAACAAGATCCATCATCTGAACCATGACACGGACGAGACGCTGCTCACCTTCTTCAACAAGAACCCTGGCGATTCGAACAAGACGCCCGGTTTCAACAAGGTTACAATGCCCAGCCGCAACTTTGCGATTCTCACGGAGAACTCGCCCAACAACCCGGCCGTCAATGCGGAGCCCGAGAATGACGGAACAAACGGCACGACCAACGGCTCGGTCCGGACCAATTTCTCCGGCAAAGGCGGCCACGACTTTTTGCACCCAGGCGAGGTGGACGCGGGTACGCTTCACCGAGCGGCATCGGCGGCACATGGCCGACTCAACGACGGCAGTCTCGACATTGTTATCCGCGTCGAAATCGATCAGCACGACAAGGAAGGCAAGACGGACGGGTACGGCCTCAGCGTGCCGTTGCTGCACTACACCCGGCCTGTGACGCCGGCGGCGCCGTTCCCGCAACAGGAGCACTCGGCTGAGACATCCTCGAGGAGCCGGCCCCGGAGTCAGTAGTGGAAGGGCTGGGGATGATGACGCGTTAGGTAGGTGTGCGGTCAGGAGTTGTTATACCCAAGTGCACAAGAAGGGGAGGGAAGAAAAGGACGGGATCAGGTGCACGGTAATGAGTTGAGACGAGCACCATTTCATTGTCTTGGCTGTGTGTTTACTGGAAAGCTGAACCCTGTTCCAGCACCATGAGAGATACCTCGACTCTTACTTTCTGTTTTGTCTAGTTTTACGTTTCCTATGATTCAGTCAGTCAACAGGTGCGAAATCGGCCGTGATACTGTAACCAGAACACCATCGGGTCGGAATGCCCATCCGACTTTTTTTTTTGCTTGGGGCGGCGCCACCCAATGCGGACCAGTCGAACTGCTCCAGACCGGATCAAGCCCCCGACAGCCGACCGACCGACTGGCTCCCCCGTCTCAGCAGCGTTCCTCAAAAACTGGGGTAGATCACTGCTTGCAAGGGGAAGCTCGAATCCGTGCAAAGCAAGCTGATTGGCCGGATAAGAAAAGCTACACCTAGAAAAGGGTCCCGCTTCGCTATCGCAGATCGGATCCCCCTGCCGAGGCGAGAGCTTCGTCATTGGCGTGTCACGGCCAACCACCTGAGTCGTCCGAAAGCTCTCTCTCTGGGCCGCGATAAAACGAGCTGTCGCAGCCGGTATGGGTGTCACGAGGGAGGGAGGGGTGGAGGATGGAGAGCTCTGGGGTTTTTCTTTCCTCTTCTTCTTTTCTTCTTTCTCTCTTCCACAGGGACATCATACTTGAACCTTTCCTCCCCCTCCTCCTCCTTCAGTCTGTTTGCTTCGTAGAGTTCACGAGACATCCAATCCCGCTTCAGGTCGTTTCGTTTCACTGTGCCGCTGTGTACCACCGAGAGCTCACCCTCACACACCACCATCTTGCGTTCCGTTTCCTCGCTTTTCGTCCCCGCCCCGGACCACACAGGCCGAGTCCGACGTCAACT